CCAGCCTGGGTGACAGAGTGAGATTCCATCTCGAAAAACAAACAAATAAATCCCAAAGCCATACCCAAGAAACCTGAGGTTTGATTACATCACAAATTAAAATCTTTGTATAACAAAACACCATAAAAAAGTCAGAGGACAGTGATCAGCTGAGAGGAAATATTTGCAACAGATGATAAAGTGTCACTATCTAGTCTATATAAAGAGTTCCTAGAAATCAATTAAAAAAAAATCCAAGAAGGCCCAATAGAAAAGTTGACAGCAGATATCAATAAACAAGCCACTGAAGATAAAATGCAAATGCCCTACAGGAAGAGATGTTGAACCTCACAAGTCATTAGGGAAATGCAAAATAAAAGGACGAGATACTTTTCATCCATCAGATTGGCAAGCACTGAAAAGATTGCTCATAGCCAGGCGTGGCAGGTGTCAAGAGAAAGGCGTTCACACACCGTGTGAGCATCTGCTGTCAGCTCGGGGAGAGTCGGTGACAGCTGACAGCAGAGTGGGTGACAGGGGACAGGAGGGGAGTTGGAGAGGTGGCTTCCACGCTGCAGACAGGACGAGAACCCCAGGGTGGCAGCCCATGCCCTCCGTGTGAATCAGAGCCTTCTCCTCTGCTTCATTGCGAGGGAAGAGAGGAAACGGAGTCCTGTCAGAAGGGACCTGCCCTCTGGGACAAAAAGGGTATGAGTAAAAGAAAAAGAAAGGATAAAAAAAAAAAAAGAAGGAAACTGCCCTGTGGTGGTTTATAGCCCCAGGGCGGCCCTCACCCCTGCTGGACAGCCCTGCAAGGGCTTTTGCTGCAGAAGTGACCAGAAGCACCCAGCCGCAGCCTGGTCCTCGGGGGCTGAGACCTGTGAGTCCATGGGTGTGACACCGGCCACTGTCAGAACGGCACTGCTTCTGCAAACGGAGGAACCAGCTCCGAGAGGTGACGGAACTTTCCCAGGGCTGAGTGGAGGATTTAGGCCTCAAATGCCAATGTTTCTCCCACTGCAGGGAGTCAGGAGGCCTGAATGCACTGGTCACATGAAAACAAACCTGTGTTATCTGGGGCCGGCTCCAAGAAGTCTCCCTTCGACCGGTGATGTCGGACATGAATTGTTCACGTCCTACACGACGGGCACAGTGCTCAGCCCTTCACATTCATTTCATTTTATTCTCACGACGGGCCTGTGAGGCAGGTGCTGCTGTTCACAACCATTTTACAGAAAGGGAAACTGGAGCCCAGAGAGGGTAAGTCACTCCCGAGAGGCCCACAGCTGGTAAGTGGTGAAGCCGGGCTTTGCGATTCAGGCTGTCACTGTCCTTCTACCGAGGACACATTTAGACTGTGTGGGGGTGACTTGTCCAGTGCTTTCCGTGCTTGGGCGCACATATGGGGCGGGTGCCGGGAGGTTTAAAGGTACATGATACCAGGGGAGATCAGTTGACATTGGCCTCAGTGACCAAGACTTGAGCTATACATGAGCAGAATACGAGTTAAGGTGAACTTTTTAAAGGTGACGATTCTGCAAACTACCTGTGTGCAATCAGCCACATCACTTAACCCATTATTGATTATGGGAACCTGACTTGCGCTAGACTCAAACTGGGCCTTCCTGCCTCTCTGATCTACCTTTGAAACTGCCAGACACCGTGCATGTGAAAAGATGCTCAACCTCATTAATCATAACAATTTTTAAAAGATGAATTAAAACCAGATACAATTTTCTCCCAATTTGATTAGCCAAGACTAAAAAGAACAATGATGTATGGTCAAGAATGTCAAGAAAACTAGAAAACAAGCTCACATCCACTTGGTGGGTCTGGACATGAGTACAACCTTTCTGGAAAAGCTCCTCCTAGAAGATGTTTCAAAATTTTAACTGGATGTACCTTTGGACTCAACGATTCCTATTCTGAAAATTTATCATAAGAATAAATACACCAAGCTATATGGCCAAGAACGTGGCAGTATAGTTTATAATAGCAACCAAAAGAGGAAAAGAAAAAACCTAAAATTCCATCAATGGGAGGCTAGTTAACAAAAAAACCACTGAGTCATAACATGAAATATCATGTAGCCTTTGAGGATAATGTAGAGCTCTGAGTATTTCCAGGAAAAAAGATATTATAAAGTGGGAAAAGTCAAAACATAGTATAAACTAATTCATATGTATTAAGTACAATTATGTACAAGAATTTAAATCATATATATATGTGTTTTACATATACATGTATGCAAATATATATTTATAAAGTGCAAAATCCTGTGCTCACAATGACTATTCTTTTTTTTTTCTTGAGACAGAGTCTCACTCTGTAGCCTGGGCTAGAGTGCCGTGGCGTCAGCCTAGCTCACAGCAACCTCAAACTCCTGGGCTCAAGTGATCCTTCTGCCTCAGCCTCCCAAGTAGGTGGGACTATAGGCACATGCCACCATGCCCGGCTAATTTTTTCTATATATTTTTAGTTGCCCAATTAATTTCTTGCTATTTATAGTAGAGACGGGGGTCTCACTCTTGCTCAGGCTGGTCTCAAACTCCTGACCTCGAGCGATCCACCCGCCTCGGCCTCCCAGAGTGCTAGGATTACAGGCATGAGCCACCACACTCGGCCTCTCAATGACTATTCTTGTGGGCTGGAGGTGATTAGGGGCAGGTGGATTCCACTTGCTATTTTTTGCTTTTTTTACAGCAATCAGGAATTAATAGAAAATATATTGCTATTGGGGAGCGGGGATGAGGGGAATCCCAACAGAGCCATCTTGCTCAGAGTAGGTCCTGCCAAGGCCAATATTGTATGGTTTTAAGATTCATTCCACATTGACATTTAACTCTGCATCCTGTTCACTTTATGGGAAGTTCTGTTTGAAGGCCACACGAACCCGACTCAGCCCCACTTAGACCTTTCCACTCAGCATTTAGGGCATCATATCATGGTGGACCAGTCCTGTGTCTTCCTCCTGGACCAGGCTGGGGACATCCCAAGGGCGGAGAGAACATCTCATGCATCCTCACACCCTCACCCCATCGTGGGACTTCATTCATTGAGGTGACTTCATTCATGGAGCTGACATTCCATGAGCACCTACAGTGCGCCCAACCCGAGCTGGTGCTAGAGACGCTCGAGCCAACAGAACAGACCCGAGCCTTGTGTTCTGAAGGCTGCAGTCCCAGTGGAATTTGTTGAACAAATAAATGACTCATGAGTAGTGAGTGACCAGTGAGACGAACAGACTCAGAGGGTTGGAAGACCTGACCTAGTGACTCCGTGAACTAACACACAGGAGCACTGGCCTGGAGTGGACAGACCAGCTCTGTCCCCAGGAAGTGGTTTTCACATTATTATTTTTTTTTTTTGCAATGGCATCTCTTCTCAATAAACAGTAGAGACAACAATGACATTATTATGAGCCCATTTTCTAAGTCCAATTTAAAGCATTTCATACAATTGATATAATTGTGATTGACAAAGAATATTTGGATTATAACACCCTTGAGTGTATGTGATGTTTTTACTCGTTTCTTAATACTTAACAAATAGAATAAAAATTAAATTCAAATAAAGTGTTTGCAGAACCCTGGTTAAAAAACCACTGTCCTGGAAGTAAGAGTGTTGTTTTTGTTTGTTTTGTTTTAAACTCTCTTTAGCATTATTCATTTGTTGATTCAATGAATAAGAATAGAGCATATTCAGTGGGGCAGGCAATCTTACAGTGATTCAATATTAATAGCCTCAGGGACCACAAGGAACCCAGAGATCAAGGGAGGGTGAAGGTGGGGCCAGGGGAACAGCCATATAGATGGGCAGGTAGGTAGGTAGATAGTAGATGAGGGTAGAGGGAGAGAGAGAGAGAGAGAGATGGTATAATAGGCTGAATAATGCCCCCCAAAATGTCCACATCCTAATCCCCAGAATTTGTGAATATATGTAGGTTGTCTTACAAGGTAAAAGGGACTTTGTAGATGTGATTAAGCTAAGAATCTTGAGATGTGGAGATGATCCTGGATTATTCAGTGGGCCCAATGTAATCACAGGGGTTCTTATATTTATAAGGGAAGAGGGAAGCCTGGGCAACATAGTGAGACACCATCTCTACAAAAACTAAAAAAAAAAAAAAAAAATCAACCAGGCATGATGGCACATGCCTGTAATCCCAGCTACTTGGGAGGCTGAGGCAGGAGTCCAGGAGTTCAGGATTACAGCAAGCTATGATGACACCACTGCACTCTAAGCCCGGACAATAGAGCAACACCCTGTCTCAAAAAGAGAGAGAGAGAGAGAGAGAGAGAGAGAGAGAGAGAGAGAGAGAGAGAGAGAGAGAGAGAGAGAGAGAGGGAGGCAGGAGAGTCAGAGGAGGAGACATGGTGACAGGAGTGGAGGTCAGAGAGAGACCAGAAGGGGTCACATTACTGGCTTAGAAGATTCAAGAGGACCACAAGCCAGGGGATGCGAGCAGCCACTAGAAGCTGCCGGGAAGGGCAAGGAAAGAGGCTGTAATATGTTGTAATCATGGCGGGGAAAATAACTTTTCAAAATTCGAGTCTGGCTGCCAGTGGCAGGCTGAGCAGGAAGGAAGGGCGACCAGCTCTTCTTGGCCAAGGCAACCACAGAGCGGCACCGATCCATCCGAGACTCCTGCATCCTGAACCCTGACTGAGACAGCTGGGTCCCTAATCCTCTCTGCACCCAGAGGAAGGGGCAATGGCACACGTTTGTGGTCACTCACAGCTCTAAGAATCAGAAAATCAGTGACCCTGCAGGAGGCCAGCAACAAGAGCCCAGGGCATGGTGCTATGTCCCAGGAAGGGCCTGGGTTTGGAGTCCCACGGACCACAGCGGGCAGCCACCCCCACCACTTGGGCCAGTTACTTGAGTCTCCGAGCTTCTGTTTCCTCCTCGTACTATGGGAGGAAGATTCTTGCCTCCCAGGGTGTTGAGAAGACTGAGATGGCGCGTGCCCCCAGCACATAGTAGGTCCTGCCTCCCTCCCCCTCCTGTGAAGCCTGTACCTGCAGCCCAGGTCGGCCCAGCACTGGGCACAGTGCCCCCGGGCGATGCGGGCCCTCGGGATCCGGGGACACGGTGAGGCCAGGGGCGCCCAGGCCAGCTGCTCCATCTGGGCGGCGAGGAGAAGGGCAGGCTCCGCCATGGGCTGGCAGTGGAGGCCCCCGGCCCGCTGCTGTGCTGCTGCCCGGGCCGGCTCAGTCAGCAATGCTGCAGTGCGGGCAGCAGGAGGGAGGCAGGGCCCTGGGGCACACCCAGTTCCCAGGCAGGGACAATGGCCAGCCCCCTCCTGGGGTGGGGCTGGCTCAGCCAGGGACACCCACTTGCAGGTACACACACACACACACACACACACACACACACAGTCCCACCCACCTGCACCGGAGCTGAAGTGGAAATGGTGCCTTTTAAAAACAGTCATAGGCCGGGCGCGGTGGCTCACGCCTGTAATCCTAGCTCTCTGGGAGGCTGAGGCGGGCGGATTGCTCGAGGTCAGGAGTTCGAAACCAGCCTGAGCAAGAGTGAGACCCCGTCTCTACTATAAATAGAAAGAAATTAATTGGCCAAATAATATATATAGAAAAAATTAGCCGGGCATGGTGGCGCATGCCTGTAGTCCCAGCCACTTGGGAGGCTGAGGCAGAAGGATCGCTTGAGCCCAGGAGTTTGAGGTTGCTGTGAGCTAGGCCGATGCCATGGCACTCATTCTAGCCTGGGCAACAAAGCGAGACTTTGTCTCAAAAAAAAAAAAAATAAAAAAAATAAAAATAAAAACAGTCATAAACTATTCTTCGCATTATTACCCACAGCCATGCTGATTTTAGAGTAAAACCAGAAGAACAAAGGACATGGCTAACGTGTGGAACAAAGGGTCTTCACCCTGGCTTGGCCACTCCCCCTGAGGCTTCTCTGAGCCTCGGTCTCCTCTTCTGTGCAATGGGGATGCTGACGTTTGCCAAGAGACAGGAACCAGCAAGCAGGAAGGTGTCAGGTGTGGAAGGAGCAGGCCTTAGGGACAGGGTGGGAGACGCCAAGGGAGCAGGAGCCAGGAACGGCCTTCTGGCGGAATCTGGAATGTGGAGGAGGAGGAGCTGGCTGGGAAAAGGCTGGGAGGGGAAGCTGGGGACCTTCATTCCCTGGTCTGGAAAATGGGAACGCACCCACTCAGTCAGCAAACATTAGGGAGCTCTGCAGGAGCCCTAGGGACAGTAGCTGTGGTGCCGGGAGCTGAGAGCAGGCTGAGGGGCACGGGCTTCCGGACAGAGGCGGTGGCGGTGGGGGCGTGGCCGGTCCAGGTGCCGGGAATGACACATGTCACATGCCAAGGTGCGGAAGCGGAGCATTGAGGAACGTGTGAGGGACATTCTTCCTGGCTTCCCTGGCTTGTGTCCTGTTCCTGGCCTCTGTTATGGACCATGAGCCCCGTCTCTTGCTCTCTGGCCAGGACAGAAAGGTGACGTGCAAGTGGTCTTCCTCCAGCCTGCCCTCCCCTCCCTGCCCGTGTCTGAGGCTCTGGTGTCGGGAAATTTTTACTTTACTCCAAGGGGCCCCAGAGTGCGCCTCAAGGAGGGGTCCCGAGTCCACAGGTCTGCTCTGGCCTGGGGGAGGCAAGACATGGGGCCCAGGAAGCTAGAAACAGTGTCCCATTGGAGCTGCCACACCCACGTCCCATTGGAGCTGCCACCGTGCATGGTCCTGGCATCAAAAGATGGGAAAAGTCCTGCAGGACAAAGTGCCTCAAAGACACCCCAAGTCTCAGGTGGCCATCACTGGCTCAGCGTGCAGGCTGGGGCCGCACAGCCGTCCCCTGTCCGCTTTTCCTGAGCCTCATCCTGAGGATGATCCCAAGGAGCTGGGGGTCGGTCTCACTGGTGCTAAGACCCTGTCCCAGTACGTGCACTGAATTCTCAGTGCAAGTGGGTGCAAGATGACTTTGGGAGCCGTGGGAGTGCTGTGTGGGAAACTTGGTGGGTGCTTAATAAGGTTGGGTGGGTGGATGGGGGAATGGGTGGATGGATGGATGGAAGAGTGGATGGATAGATGGATAAATAGGAGGAAGAAAGAATGAAAGGTTGGGTGGAAAAATGGGTGAACAGAGGAGGTATGGATGGGAAGGCATTGTACCGGAGGAGGGTGGATGACTGGATGAGTGGTGGAGGGGCAGATGGAAGAGTGCTTGACTCTGTACGCTAACGTGTGAAAGCACGAGTGAATTAACATGTGAATGAATGAATCAGTGAGTCATTAGGTGAATGGGGGCTAAGTAAACAAGGGAATGAATGAACAAATGCTCGAGTCAGTAAACAAGTCAGGACCTGGGTTAGTGAGCTTCTAGTCCAGAACTGAACACCTGGCTGGTCATCACCTCCCCTAGGTCCCAGGCACCCCTCGCAGGAAAGCACGAAGGAAGAGAGAGAGCCAGTAGCCTGAGTCTCGGGTGAGCCGCACTTTCAAGCCTCCCGAAGGGCGTCCCGCCTCTTGGCTTCCTAGAGAGCTGCGTGTACTCAGGACGGGCCTGGAGAAGCGAGCGTTCCCGGCAGCATTCCTCAGCCCGGGCTGGGCCTGTCCCGGCCCTGGAGTATCGGCCAGGCCGGTTAGGGAGCAGTGGAGTGACACAGACCTGCTGGCCCCGCACCCTGGCGGCCTGCCAGCACCTCCGCGGGCGGCCTGTGACCCAGCCTCTCACTGTCATGGAGACTCCATCTGTGCCGCTCAGACCCAGAAAGTCCCCTGGGGGGCTCGCACATGTTGTGTGCTCAGCATTCCCTCCCTGCTTCCTGTCCCTCTGAGTGGCTCCCACCCCACCAGAGCACTGTCCCAGCCTGTGTGATGTCGTGGAGCCCCACAGGCCTGCGCCTGATCCGCAGCCCTGCCGCTTAGGCTGTGTGACTTCAGGCAAATGCCTTAACCTCTCTGAGTGACAGCTTCCTCTTCATTTAAATGAAAATCTTGCCCGTCTTGAGGGGTGGTTGTGAGGATTCAGTGGGATAACACATGCCAAGTTCTTAACCAGGGGTCCTCAAACTTTTTAAACAAGGGGCCATTTCACTGCCCCTCAGACTGTTGGAGGGCCATGGGAGAGTGCGGCGCACATTCCACACATGTGCACTGTGGGCCCAGGACGAATTAGCTGCTAAGCAGGACAGGCAGCGGCAGCTAAAATACCCAGCGGGCTGGATAAATGTCCTCGGCGGGCTGCATGTGGCCCGTGGGCCGTATTTTGAGGACCCCTATAGGGTGCCTGGCACAAGACGTGCATTGAGCTCCTAATTTCCAGGCGCTCAGCTGGGTTTTCTCTGGACAGGAATCTACGGGGCACGTACATGGTGCCAGCCAGCACCGTGCTCTGAGCTCTACATGCGTCACCACATTTGACCCTCATGATAACCTCACGAGAGGGTGTCATGGGTTCACTTGTGAATTGTGTCACCTGAAAACATATGTGGCAGGCCTAACCCCCACTGCCTCGAATGTGACCTTATTTGGACATAGGGTCTTGGCAGAGATAACCAAGTCACAATGAGGTCATTAGGGTGGGCTTGCTGGCTCCGCTGGCCTTTCTAGGTCAGCGGGGAAGCCGAACGATGCCCCAGCAGCCCCGACAGCAAAGGGGACAGTGCCGAGTAAGCGGTTCATGGAGCCACCAGGGAACCGTGCCGGGGAGAAGCTTCAGCCGCAGGAGACTGTCACCAAAAGTGTTTCTCAGAGCACTCCTGAAGCTCGGGGGAAACCTCACCAGTCAGGACAAAGCCTGTGTGGAGACTGTGTGTGTGTGTGTGTGTGTGTGTGTGTGTGCGTGCATGTGTGACTGTGTTTGAGAGAGTGTGAGTCTTTGTGTGTGACTGTGTGTCATAAGAGTGCATGTGTGTGAGTGCATGTATGCGTGTGGAAATGCATGTGTGTAAGAGTGTATGTGAGCGCATGTGTGTGAGAGTATGTAAGAGTGCATGTGTGTGTGTGAGACTGCGCATGTGCGTGTGAGAGCGTGCCGGCGAGTGTGAGCGTGCGTGCTGGGGACGTGTGGGGTCGGGGGCTGGGAAACGGGTGTGCGTAAACACTCTGGTGCCACTTCTGTAGGGCAACTTGGCAGTATCTGCAAAATGAAAATGCGTATATGTTATACTCAAAACTGTCCCTTTCAGAAAGATCTTCTAGATTCGAATTCAAGAGTGTCCTTCTGCCTGCTGGTGAGAACAGAAACCTGATCCAGCAAATTCAGTGGGGCGCAGGTCCCAGAAGGGGGCTTGTCTCCACCGGATGAGGAGCTCAGCCGCTAGCCCAGGACAGCAGGGAGCCACAGGGGGTTTAAGCAGGGGAGAGCCGTGTTCCGATCTGTGCTTTGGATGGATCAGCCTGACCAACGGGGCAGAAAGAGCAGAGACCAAAGGCCGGGAGACACGTTAATAATTCGGGCTCTGTTCTCTCTCCTTTGGACATTTGTAGAGGCTCGCAGAGGCTGGCAGGGGGAAAGAGGCGTAAGGTGATACCAGGCTGGTGCCCAGGAGGGCCTGACCCCTCGTCCAGCCCATCACCGTGCTGCCCCGCCCCCACCTCTCCGCCAACACGCCAACCGGGAGAAGAACTGGCATGGTGGATGGGGACCTGGTTCAGGAGTCACCGGGCCGCGGTTCAAATCCCAATCCACCAGTGTGACTGTGAGCAAGTTACTTGACTGCTCCATGCCTCGGTTTCCCCATCTGTAAAACAGAGGTAACCAAAGACCCTACTTCGTGGGGTTCTGGTGAGGGTTCAAAGCGGTGGCGTGTGTAAGGCACACACAGAAGTACGCCACGCACGTGGTAAGTGCTCACAAAGCGTGAGCTCCTCCTGCCGTACCTAGGCAAGGGGCAGACGCGCTGCGGCAAGTTCAGAGCAAGGCCTCCTCCCGAGCAGCTGGTGAAGAGGGGCAGGTGTTTCCGGAGAGGGTGAGGAACAGCTGGGCCCCGGAGCTGGTTGAATGAAGGGACCAGGTCAGGCGGGGCAGGTTTGCCAGGGGCCCCTGGGCACAGGAAGCCCCTGGCTTCTTTAATGTGCAACCCCACCCTCTGGCCCCAGCCTGCCCTGGGGCCTCTCTGGATCGCGTTGGCCAACTTGTCCCCATGTGCCTGCTCCTCCTGTCTTCACAGACGCGGGCTCCTTGCGGGGGGGCCTGGCCGGTCCCCGCAAGGGTGTAGAACAGCTGGCTCCTCAGGAGGCGTTCGCATGTCCGTCTGCAGAGCGCACGAGCTGGGGGTTCCAGGGAGGCGCTGCAGTCGCCAAAGTCCTCTTCCCTCCCTGGCTGGTCTCTCCCGTCCACTTCGGCCATCGCCACGGCCCAGATGACGCTGGGGAAGCCAGGCTAGAAACAAAGGGAAGGTTGGGTCTGACATTGGAACGAAAGAGCAAGAAGGGTAAGGCGGGGAGGGAAGGGCCCTAGAGAAATGGGGTAGGGTTCTTGCGCAGCATCTGAAAACCTTGTTTTCTCACCCCACAAATTGTGCAAAAACAGGACAGGCTGCATAATTTATGGGGCCCAATAGCAAATTGGGGGGGGCCCTTGTTCAAAAACTAAGAATTTCAAGCCAGCCGCAGCAGAGCACTAAACCAAGCCTGGGGCCCTTCCGACCCGGGACCTTGTGAGACTGCAGGTGAAGCTGGCTTTGCACACAAATCTCTGAGTACACGTATGTGAGTTTTTCTGGGGAAAGTGCCCTCAACTGCCAGGGTCACGATCCAGAAGGTTAAGAGTCACAAGGATAAGTGGGGGGCCCTCCTTCTTGCCCCCACCTCCTCCCTCCACCCAGGCAGGGGCTGCAAGCTGGGGGTTAGTGAACATGCTGCTCCAGCCAGCCACAGAGTGGGGCGGGCTACGGTGGCTGTGAGGACAGCAAGAAGGGGGCACGTGAGAGACGGAGATTAGGCTTGGGAGGGGAAGGCACGAGGCTGACTCCGGTGTGCGGCTCAAGCAACTGGATCAGTCAGCGTTGCTGATCACAGAGACAAAAGCAGAGGACCGGGGGGTGTTGTGTTTTGCTTTCCTGGGTAGCCACAGAATCAAGAATTCCACTGTAACATGAAAGGGTATCAAGTGGACAGACAGCAGGGCTCAGAAAGAAGGTTACAGTGAGACACACACGTTTTGGGGCCATTGGCACAGAGACGGCATCTAACCCCATCGGCAAGGCCGAGTCTCCTGGGTGTTCCGTGGTGCGGGAACCCTGCTGCTCTGGCACGCTAACTGCCCTGACTCCCGGGTCCTCACCTGTAAACGGGGGCCAGAATGACACCCTCTTGATCAGGCTTCATAAATGCACTTGTGAAAGAAAAGTGCTTAGCACAGGCCCTGGTGCCTATGAAGTCCCCAGGGAACATCAGCTGTTATTGTTATTAATATTATGATCATGTCATTCCTTCTACGCCTATGTATGGAACCCCCTTTGTGTGGCACTGGGCAGTGCTTTGGGCTTTAGATGCATCCGTGATCGGCATGTTAGAAGGCGGCGAGCGCTACGGCAAAAGCAGAGCAAAGTGCATGGTGTGCGTGTTGGGGGTGGGGGCGTCACAATATCAAACAGGGCGGCTGGGAGAGCCCTGCTGAAAAAGTGACACTAGAGCAAAGCCTGGAGGTGAGGGAACAGCCCCCCAACCAAGGCCGTAAGGAGGTGAGGTCACAGAGTATCGGATAGGGGACATTTTCGTGGGCTCCTCACGGCAGAGGTGGCCAGTCCCGCTACAGGGCCAGAGCAGGTCTCCCGCACAGTGAGGCAGAAGGTGGGGCGAGCCGCGCTCCCACAGAGCAGCTTCCGGCAGCCCCCGCCCCTCCCCTGCCACCCCAGCCCCCAAAGGGTCTCACCTGGCAGAGCCGGCTCACCCGCAGAGCCACTCCTGCTCCGGGCCAGGCAGCGCCCCCTTCCAGCAGAACTGGGCCAGGCCTTTGCTCCAGGGCTCCCAATCCAAGCACAGATCTGAGTCATTGTCCTTTGAATCTGTGGAGATACAAGACCAGGCCTCGGGGGTGGTCACGTCTGTCTCCTACCCTGACCCAGGAGAGGGGGGGCCTGCCAGGCCGGGACATCCCTGAAGCCTTGTCTGAGGCCAGTGGGCCAAGGCAGAATCATATGGGCCAGCCCTGAGACCTCAGGAAGACTTCCGGGCCTTCACTGGTGACCAGGGACCAGGAGAGAAGGTTGTCCTGTGATTTGGAAAGTGGCCATATCCATCTACTAGAGGGAAGGACCCCAGAGGTGAGCAAATGACATGCTGTTTGGGTCATGGTCCAGGAGGAGGCACTGAGTAGATACCATCGTTGACTCATTCATATTCGTCCAATAGTTCATTCGCTAAAAATGTCTGAGTATAGGCCGGGCGCTGTGGCTCACGCCTGTAATCCTAGCTCTTGGGAGGCCGAGGCGGGCGGATTGCTCAAGGTCAGGAGTTCGAAACCAGCCTGAGCAAGAGCGAGACCCCGTCTCTACTATAAATAGAAAGAAATTAATTGGCCAACTGATATATATATAAAAAATTAGCCGGGCATGGTGGCGCATGCCTGTAGTCCCAGCTACCCGGGAGGCTGAGGCAGAAGGATCACTCGAGCCCAGGAGTTTGAGGTTGCTGTGAGCTAGGCTGACGCCACGGCACTCACTCTAGCCTGGGCAACAAAGCGAGACTCTGTCTCAAAAAAAAAAAAAAAAAAAAAAAAAAAAATGTCTGAGTATAGAGGGACGATGATTTCTGTGGCAGCACTGTTGTGTGGTCACACACATACACACACACACCGGAACACCTGGAAACTGTGTGCGTGTCCATCACGATGGGCTGGTTGACCAAACTGTGGCACAGTCACAGTCCAGGGAGACCCAGTCCACCCATCCTATGGCTTGTCTTGAAGCTGTCACAATGTGACACATCGTGTCCAGATCGTTTTGTGTGTGCATATGACAGGGTCTCACCTTGTTGCCCAGGATAGAGTGCAGTGATGTCATCATAGCTCACTGCCACCTCAAACTCCTGGGCTCAAGAGATCCTCCTGCCTCATCCTCCCAAGTAGCTGGGACTACAGGTGCTTGCCAACACACCTGGCTAATGTTTTGTATTTTGTATAGAGACAAGATTTCACTATGTTGCTCAGTTTGCTCCTGAGCTCCTGGCCACAAGTGATCCTCCCATGATGGCCTCTCAAAGTGCTGGGATTACAAGTGTCAGCCACCACTCCCAGCCTATAACTCTATCTTGACTTGCAAGATATCCATGGTATATTATAAGCAAGTTGCAGAGAAATGTATATGGTAGGATCTTTTTTAAAAAAAAATACTGATCCCCCAATTTTTTTGGATGTCTACATATGTTATTAAGCTTGTGCATGACTTTGCTAACATTGAGTATCTTGGGAAGGCAAGGGGAGAAAGAAAAGTGGATGGGGAAGATTATTTTACTTACTAAACTTTTTTTAAACTCTTGTTTTGTTTCACTGGTTGCAGCAAAGTAAAGAAGGCTAACAAAAGCCCTCATACTGCAGAGCAAGAGAAGGAGATTGGAAAGGCTGAGCCTCAACTTCTTCATCTATGCAATGGGCAAGATAATAGCATCTTCTATGATGAGGGTGAACTGCAGTAAGACATGGAAAACAGCACCGGGCCTAGAATAGGCATTGTTAGATAATGTTGGCAGTTAGTGTGACTTACAAATCAGCACAATGGCTTGAAGTGATTGTTCTTCACTGCAGACAGTGATTATTTTATTAACATAATACTATGTGCTAAGTGTTTTCAATTCATTTTCTCATTTAATCCTTTTAACAACTTCCCAAAGGCAATTACGAGTATTTTTCCTATGTTACAGATGAGGAAGGCTCAGAAAGGTGAAATGACCTGTCTCGGGTCACAGCAAGGCAGTGGCAGTACTGGATTCAAAGTCGGCCTCCCCACGCTGCAGCTCCAGTGGGTGCACTTGTTTGGAGGGAATTCGAAGGCAGCTTTGAGTTGAACATCTTGCTCCAAGGCCCACCACGAGGGGCGGGCAGGACCCTTAACAGGTACGGCCTGTTGTGCCATTCCTGTTTCAGCCCCAAATCCGTCCCTTTGGAAGTTTACTTTCTTCCTTCTGCAAACTCCTTTCAAATCGCAAAAGGAAACACTCGCGACAGGGCATGTTCCTCGCGACAGGCACATATGGCTCCATCCTCTCTCCCCAAGTCATGGCCAGAGCAGCACTGTCCCCCCCCCCCCTTGGGGCAAGGAGGATGAGGGGAGGTGGCAGAGCTACTCCCATCTGGTTTTCATACTGGATTCCAGGCCAAACTGATCCCAATCAACAGATTCTCCGCAGAATAGAAAAACACCGGCCTGGGGGGCCTGAGCCCCCAGCCCCCAAACCCTGGCAGGCCAGACCCTCGCTTTGGGCCAGTCCCCAGCACAAGGGCAAAACTCACACAGTAATTCCGAGAGTTCCAAGAACACAGAGACCCCGAGGGAGGATTGCACACCCCACTTTCAGGATGGTTTCTCTTTATTGCGAAATTAACAAAGGACTTATTTCGAAATGCCATGTGATAGGTCAGTGAGTAAACAGCTTCTCGGCCGAAAGTCTGAGGAGGGGACAGGCTGGGGCAGGTTGTGGATGATTTTGGAGCCGGGCCTCCAAGGAGAATGAATTCCTGGAGATCAGTGCTTAGGCCTTGGCCTGGGTGGTAGGTAAAGCGTCCCTCCGCTCTGGAGAAGCCACCCAGAGCCACTCCTATAATTCCTCCCACGTTGATAAAACCAACATGGGCTGCACTATTTTCTCAGCCTACAGGCGCCCCCCACGTGCCATGTGTGCACCTGTGCTGTGTGCCCCGCCCCACGAGCACCTGAGACGCATCGACCCATGCAAGCCCTTCCATACCCCAAAAGGATCATCACCTCCATCGTGCAGGTGAGAAAATGAGGCTCAGAGAGGACATGCCCAAAGTCACAAGATGGTAGGTGGCAGAGCCAGGGTTCGAAGGGAGACAATTGAGTACGTGATAGGTGTGTGACATTGGGAGATTGCTCCTCCTCCCCAAGCCTCTGTTTCCTCAACTGTAATCTGAGAATTACTTCACAGGGTTGTTTTGAGGATTAAATGAGATACTGCACGTCAAGTGTTTAGCACAAGACTTAGTACACAGGTTTCAAAACAGTTCAGCTATTATTATGGACTACTAAGAAGCAAGGCTGAAATCTGAACCCAAGTCTTCCAGACCCCAGAAAGGAGACTTTTATAGCCAGTACGCGGACAAGTCTTCTGAGTCCCCCAGCTGCGGGGCCCAGTGGCAGAACTGTGCCCCTCAGGGAGGGCTGTGCTCTGCCCGGGCAATATGAGGAAAATATACTTTAAACAAATGTTTTCTGGAAGCAAGAGGACTTCCTAGGCTCTTGCCAGGAACTCCTGATAATTACACAGTTACTGGCTCCTACATTTGAGACCAGAGGGCCAGTGGAGCTGGGGGGACTGCTCGCCCTGCCTCAGTGGCGTCTGACCCGAGCTGGCTGCATGCTCAGCGCCCTCCCTGCCTCTCTGGCCCAAGGTCATGGGGCCCTGGAGCAGGAGATGGGAGGTTAAGTGGTCCCCAGGAAGAGGGCTCTCAATGAAAAGGACACCCAGGGAGACAGGACACCCAAGGGGCAGGGAATCACTCCCGCCACGCAGCCAGACCAGACGCTGGCTCACCTGCCCCCAGCTGTCCTCATAGCTAGCTTTGCCCTGGCTCTTGCTCCTGTTGGTGGCATGCTGAGGTAAGCATGAATGTCACTTGGCTTCCATGATCCTGTGTCTCAGAGAAGCCAGATCCTCTCTGATATATGGTCTAGGTAGAAACAGTATGGCCTCTGGGTACCTGAAAGCTTCTAAGGCCGCTGTATCCCATTGCCCAGGATGTTTACTACACAAAAGTACCCAGCTCACGAGGTGAGTGGGACTGAATCCAGCCCACGCCCTGCTCACAAAGCCTTGTGACCCAGCTGCGTTCACAGGAAGTAGCACCTTTTTCTAATTCATCTGCCCAGAAGAGCCACCTCTTTCTAATTTGTACAAAAGATCAGATGTGTTATAGACATGCAAACCCACTGCATTGCAGTCAAACTCGGGGACTCACTTTTGAACTCCAGATTAAGAAACCCTAAACAGCCAAGCCCATCCTTTTATCTTAAGAGTTCACTGCTTGTGTCTGAGCCAGCACTGAAAATGCCTGAACAAAACCCTTTTCCTCTAGTTGATTAAGGACACCCTGGCCTATTCAGACTCCTGCTCAGCTTCAGGATTAGAGTCCCAGCCTGGACAGGTAAGAAGCTCACCTTGTCTAAGTAAGAAGCGTAGCCAGACGATCATCAAAAATAACAGCAAACCCACAGGGAGGCACAGCCAGAAAACCAGGAAAGAAAACGTGAGGTCGTTCACTAGTGGCACCAAAGGGTACCTCATGGTGCATGTGTGGCTAAGCCAGGCCAGCCTGGGCTGGGCTGGCAGGGCTGCCCCTGGGGACCTGGTAGGCTGGACCATGCTCTGCTCTCAGTCCAATTGTGACTGAGCTGTGATGCAACAAGGAAGTCACAGTGTCTTTCCAGCAAAGCCTGCAGGGGCGACCTGGAAGGAGAGCTGTGTGTTTGGAAGAATGTGTGGGAGGTAGGCGGGGAGACAGTTTGGCTGAGAATAAAAACCCAGGCTTCCAGGTAGGCAGGCTTGGGTTTAAATCCCAGCTCAGCAGCTATTGGGTTCATGGGACACTTCCCTGATCCTCTTTCTTCTAAGATGGAAATAATTCTATAAGTTAGAAAAATAGAAGATGTGACAAAAATTCCCCCTCTTCGTGGGCGTTGACATATCTGAGGTCACAGATACCTCCAGGAGCCAGCCGGGTCCCCAGTCCTGTAATTCCAGCTGCACGTGTCCACACCTACACTCTGGGAGTACTGGGGACTGCAGGGGACTACACGGAGCACGCTGCACCTAAAGGAGGCAGCTGCAGTGCCTGCAGCAATGGCTGTGAGGGAAAGGCAGGTTCAGTTTTGCCAGAACTCTCCACTTTCCCAAGGGAGCCAAAACTTCTGGATTTTTATGTAAAATTTCCCAAATTTGAAGTGTTGGATCAAACCTTGTTACGGCATTATTGGCTTAACAAAACCTGTCTGCCAGACTGGATTGGGTCACTAGGCTGCCACTTAAAAACTTTCTAACAGAACCCACAATAGGCCTTCAATAAATGATTATTTAATCTGGAAGTTTCTGTACCTCTCCTTCTTAGGGTTTTCAGTGAGGAATTTACAAAGGTATTAACCTTGTTCCTTTTTCTCTGTAGTGGGCAGGACACTCCCACCTTACCTATGTCCTTCATTCATTCATGAGGTATTTAGTAAACCTCCATGTGCCAGATGATGGCAGGAAAGAGGCTCTGGGCCTCCCAGGGCCCAGAGCCTAAGCTCTAAGCTCTAAGCCCCTAAGCTGTGGGGAGGGCCAGGTCGACAGCCTGGTAGGCTCTGGGGAGCCCACTCTCTGGACCACCTGCCTCGGTCACTGCCAGCAGGTGGGTGGGAGCTGGAAGGTTGTCACACATGACAATTCCTAGGCTCACCCTGGTCATATCAGATCTCCGGAGGCAGGAGTGAGGCTCAGGACTCAACACGCTGATGCGCAACCAGGGTGATTCTGACACAGACTTAATTTTGAGACCACAGCAGCGCCTGGTTTAAGAGCACCAGTTGAATAGTCAGGCGGGCCGGGCGCGGTGGCTCACACCTGTAATCCTAGCACTCTGGGAGACTGAAGCAGGCAGATCGCTCAAGGTCAGGAGTTCGAAACCAGCCTGAGCAAGAGCGAGACCCTGGCTCTACTAAAAATAGAAAGAAATTAATTGGCCAACTAAAAAAAAAATATAGAGAAAAATCAGCGGGGCATGGTGGTGCATGCCTGTAGTCCCAGCTACTCGGGAGGCTGAGACAGAAGGATTGCTTGAGCCCAGGAGTCTGAGGTTGCTGTGAGCTAGGCTGACGCCACGGCACTCTAGCCTGGGCAACAGAGTGAGACTCTGTCCCCAAAAAAAAAAAAGAAAAGTCAGGCAGAACCAGGAGTGGTGGCATGGTGGCAGACCCTAGGGGAGACACAGGGTAGAAGGAACCCCTTTTAGGAAGACACCAGTCCAAGAAGGGCATGTAAGGCCAGCCATCGAAAAAGCAGAGTGGATGAGAGCTGGGGTTTGGTTTTGTTTCAAGCGAGTCCTACCCCAGCTATAGGACGCCAGAGTTCCCGAAGAGGTGTGGGAAAATGGCATTAATGTGCACCCAAGGAAGGCAGGAAAGCTGCCCCAGATGCAAGGCCCAGAGACCAAGATCTGGAGTGGGTGGTTGGGGCTGGGGGTGACTTCTTGGCATTGCGTCCTGAAGGGGCTGGGGTCAGAGAGGATGAAGCATCACTGTTGAGAAAGGCTTGAACATGCTTTGTGGCTAAGAAATCTTTCCAGACACCAAAACAGGGCCACTGCGCACCAGGCCCAGCTGGAGGTCCCGTGGTGAGCAGGCAGAGCAGGCGTGGACACAGAGAGGGGAGGGTCTCAGACACAGCTCAGGGGCTGGCACACAGCGACATGCTGAGTCTGTGCCAGGACAGAGGGCAGCTCTTGGCAGAAGCATGCACCATGATGGTTCTCATTGGTTTCCTCAAGTGGTCCACCCACCCCTCCATGTGATGTAGGCATTTAGGCACTACTCTGGCCCCATGGGACCCTCTGCAGCCAACCCTACACAAGGGGCAGTGGAGCAGGGGTGACCTTCTCTACATCTCCCCTCCTTCCTAACTGCCCAGCCCCAGCAGGGCTGACCTCTGCAGGCAGAGGGCACAGCCAGCACTTCCTTGTTCCCGAGACACAGAGGGCCAGCCATCCCCTCAGCAATTCCCGGCCTTTTCAAGGCGAGCCTCTGTCGCCAGTGTTTTTGTCATACGAGCCTTCTGGCAGAGAAGGCCAAATACTTTCTTTGAATATTAAGCAAATGTTGAGTATTTCATGAAACTCTACAGATCTAAATTATGCAGGGTAGCGGAAGCCAAGCAGACACCCCCTGGTACCCAAGCAGGAGGCAAACCCCAGCCTGTAACCAAAAGCATACACCAAGTTATTAGATAAGAATCTCCTTAAAATTTAATTGACTAAATGTATTACATTCAATATTCCATGTGTTTCTTCTGGACAAAGGATTGGCATAAATACAAACAAACCTCTGGGCCTTCTTCCCTAACCGACGAAGATAAAACACAGGAAGCGAGGGAACACGGGGACACCTTCATATTTACATTTCGCCTTTACTTTACAGTTCAGTGCCAGAAATATTTACAGAAAATACAATAAGAAAAGATCATGTCTTGGCAACATACTGAAATTCATACAAATTGTATATATGATTTCAAGCAAATAATGATACTGCTTATTTTTTAGCCACAACTGCCAAGCCCTTCAGAGGAGAAAGATGTCTTGGTCACTGCAAGAGACGAGGACTTGGGAAACTTGGTTTGTTTCAACAAGTATTTATTGGGCGCCTACTATATGCAAGGCACTGTGGAATCCCAAATTACACCTTTTCCCTCTCCATTAAAAAAAGAAAAGCATCTGAAGAACAGGAGTTGATATTCTGAGAAAAACACTATACAGTACATGGCTTCTTTAGCTACTGAGAAACCCACCGTTTGATTCCACATTGTAGGGATGGACCACCTCCAATCTCTCCATCTCGGGAAGAGGCTGTCTTGGAAATCTTTAAAACAGACCATCTGAATCCAATGATCACTTCATGTAAACACAGAAATCAATTCTTTTTAGGAAGATATAACCTGAATGGGTTTTAAAATGCTGAATGGAGAACTACTGCTGGCAGGAGTGTCAAATTACCTCCAATATGTGTCTTACCATCTACCACAAAATATGTCTTTCAGTAAGGCTGACTCCCCCTTTGGGTAACGTTCCACCTTCCAAAAGAAATAAATATTCTTGAAGACTCTGCCTTTCTAAAACCCAGTCTCTGCAGAGCTTAACAAATGCTTCCCTAGCGTTATATAGAAAGTAACTGTTCATGAAGGCTTCATACACACAACCTGTAGGCAACTGACGTTACCGGCCAAAGATGTAGGTATTCTGTATTTATAAATGAGTCCAGAGGCTAATGGGCTGCCCTGAAATACAGGACCTGGAAACGGAGGAAAATGGCACGTGTGTGTGAGTGTGTGTGGCCAGGGGAGGGGGATCAACCCACCAGGTAATTATTCCTTTCTAAGGGCCAATAGACAGGAGAGGGTCTTAGGAAGAAGCCCTGGACAAAAGGTAGAGCTGGTAAACAAGGAAAGAGTTAAAAAGGTAAAAGCCCTCCTCACTGTCCTTAATGCTCCCAGCCAGAGAGGAGGAGGAAAGCTTAAGATGGGAGTAGGAAGGTGTCCTGCCTCTGTCTCTTGGGTAACACTTTCCACTTTCCTCTTCACAGAACGCCACACTCATCCACCCCCTGGTGCACCTGGCATAGACGTAGCAACTGAACTGTTTAAGCCACAGACAAAAGTGGTTCTGGCTTCCCCCAAAAAGTTTTGAACATATCCTGGCAAATTTATCAAGTGGGCTACTAAAGATTATTATTAGGTACTACATACATTCCTCCAGCATTATTCTACTCAGAGTGATTTCTAACACAGGCAGTTGGGTGAATTTAGTGACCATGAACTCAGACCCAAACTAGTGAAAGGTCCAAGGGTTCTTACCACGCTCCCTTTCCGGGCAGATGCTATTTGGAGCAGAAGGAACCAGCACCTGGCGAGGTGAGCGTCTCCTATACTCCACTGGCTCTGTACACACTGGGGGCTTCATGCCTTCAGGGGCTGCATATGCTTCCCTCCCTGGAAGACCACTAAGTCTCCCAGATCACAAACTGCATTCGACATGGTTGTTCACTTATCAAAGTCATCAGAATTACAAAGAGTTTCCAGAAATCACAGCTAATTGAAGGATCAGCAAGCCCATATCCCATGCAACTTTCCGACATTGAAACTATGCCAGAAGTAAAAGTTTTATCTGAAGAATCACACTGAGGAAGTACATCTACATCAGTTATTTTTAACCTCTGGAATGTTATAAGTTGCACATCGATTTATAACTTTCTTTGTTCACTCCAACTAGAACAAGGGCCCATTTTCCTCTTGAAATGTCAATCTGGAATTACCTTGAGAGTTTTTAAACCTCACCTTATTCCTGCTGAACTACAAACATAATTTTAGGGTAGAACTTGCTCATCTTTATCACACATCCCCCCTCTCCCATGCTGCCATCTGGAAATGTCAATTTATTGCCCAGCTTAAAAAGAAAATCAATTATTGAATAATACCAAACCCTGAATGGAAACTGGAGTCATGGAAGGAGGTGGTTATCTTTACCTGAGCTTAAAACAAACACGAAGAAAAGGCGATGGCAAACTTAAAACCAAAAGCTGCTATGCTCACATTTCTTGCTCATAGATGGCAAAAT